TGGAAGAGCTGGGTCATAGAGGAGGTAATTGTTTAGCTTATAAGTAACTGCCAGATGTTTTCCCGAAGCAATTCTACCATTCTGTACTCCTGTCGACAATGTACAGGGGACCAGTGCGTCCACATCCCTGCCAGGTTTCAGGTGGGTTTATAGTGGTAGCACATTGTGGTTTTAATTTCTACATCTCTGTTGATTAATAACACTTTCATGTGCTTATTGGCCTTTTGTACATCTTTTGCGAAGTATCTATTCAAGTCACTGGCCATTTTTTATTGAGTTGTCTTTATTTTTGAGCTGCACAAATTCTTTATATATACTAGTCTTTTGTCAGATATATGTTTTATAAGTGTATTTTTTTTTCCTGTGGTTTGCCTGTGTTTTTGATGCCTTTTGATGAGTAGAAGTTTTTAACCTTGGTGAAGTCTCATTTATCCACTTTTTTCTTTTACGGTTTTTGCTGACTGCATCCTGAGGGGAACCTACCTCCAAGTCATGAAGATACTCTCCTGTGTTTTGTTCTAAAAGGGTTACAGTTTTAGCTTTTACATTTAGGCCTGTGATCTATCTTGAATTGATTTTTATTTCACTGGAATTTAAGATACAAAACAAACCTATAGCAATTCTGTTGTGACTTGATAACTTTTAAATATAACTTGGCAGTTAGAGCTTGTGGTTTAATGACTCATTGGACTGAGGCGGGCATATGGGTGATCTCAGTGGGTGTCTCGTTCCGTGAGGGACAAACCAGCCATTACAACGGAGGGCCAAGTTCAGTCAGTCTCTTGGGGAGAAATTCACTTCAGTTATTAGGACTGGAGACCTTTTAAAAATAGCTACTTAGCCATTTTTGAGATGTTTTAGGTTAGTTACTGAATTTTGAGTTTAATAGTAAATGTGGAGATAGTTGTTTTATATTTGTGTCATGAAAAGCTCTTCAAGATTATGTAACTGGGAAGATAACTGGAGGGCAGTAATTGAGAGTAACTGTGATGAGCAGATCGACAACTCCCGATTGGTTTGCAGAGAGTTCTGCTTTGATTATTAGATGATTTCTTTATGAGACAAGCCAGGGTTTGAAGGAGAGTGCTCTGATTACAGTTCTCGAAAGATAAGTGACCTATAACTTTATTCCGAAAAGCTATGGAAAGGAGTTCATTTTAAACATAGAGGAAATCTGAAGTACCTTCTCTGAAACAAAAATATATTAAGGATATGTGACTCTCTTTTTTTAATTAAAATATGACATATCCTTATATTTATTCCCCCCCCCCTTTTTTTTTAAGTCTTCCCTAATGCTGCAGCAAGTGTGAATTCATTAAATGCAAAGACATGAGTTAGCTAGAATGTTTCACTTTGGGGCTCCAAACCCCATCCATATATTGAAAGTGTATCCGTTTTCTTAGTAACTGGGTAAAGCTTGAAGAGGCATGAATTTCAAGGTGCAGAGCCTGAAGAATGTTTAGAAAATGAGCTTATGTCTCTTAGGACATATTCATAGACATTTGCTTAAGACAAAGAAATCATTTCTTCCAAAGGCCTTCTTTCTGTTTACGATTCTAGCGTGTAGCCTAAATTGAATTAGATATAGGCCACCACCATTTTTGATCTTTAGTTAAAAAATAAAAATTCACTGCAGGCCTGACTTCTTTGACCACATCTGCTTATTTTGATATTATTGGTAACTTTTAACCACTTTACGAAATGGGAGGGGGGGGGAATCCACGAGCCAGACAGTTACAGGCCAGATGGTTGGAGAGAGAATAATAGGAGAAAATACTTGACTGAAAACCACCCCTAATTATTGAGCCATCACTGGATTCCGTGTGGAAATGTTTCTGCATGCCCTGCCATTCTCCCTCTTCGAAAGAGCACATTCAATAGAGTCTGCTGATGGCCTGCCACCGCTGTGACCTTGGCTGTCACTGCTGCATGTGCTCTTCTCCTGGAGAGCATAAACTTATCACCCAAGAGCCAGTTTGTAGCCAGAGTTATTTTGATAGGATACATTCCTTCACACCAAAAGGCTGTACCTTCCATCGAAACAGGAGCCATCAGATATATTCACCCTGGGACCCTGGCATAGGGCTTGGCACAGTGGCGATGTGTGGCAGATTTGTTGACTTGAAAAGGTTGCTTTATAGCCATGAAACAGCAAAATGCAGGAAGGGCCTTACCAGAAAGTTTCTGTAAATGATAAGGAGGAGGATTTTTGTACTCACAGGGTATCGACCGCAGTGCAGCTGAGAATGTGGAGTATGTTGAAAAGGCTATTGTCCCCCACCTCCTTTTGAAAAATTGTGACTCCCAGACCGAGGAAGGATCACATTACTCTCAGGCTGCTGACCACCTGTTAACATTTTGTTACTGCTGCTTCTTTGCCTTTGATTTTGGCAGCTGTCTGTCCAGAAGTCTGTCCTGGATAGTTTGGAAAAGGAAGTTGGATCAATTTTGAAACTTCTTTTGCAGGCTAAACTAGTCTCTAACTAGGAAACAAAAGACACTTTCACATAAGCAGTAGTTAAATTGAGAAGACTTAGTTTGGGTGATACCCTTAAAATCTTTCAGCACATACTTTCTTCTTTAATGGAAGTATATATTTAGGTTTTTGTTCCCTACTAACATGTCCACTGATGAATGCAGAGACAGAGGTACCTTAATCAAGATGTCGTTTACCGAACAGTCCTCTAAAAAGCCTTCTGAGGGCTGAAGCAGTGTTGTAACACCAAGATTTTAAGGGACGGCTAGACCTCAGTCCTCAGATAGCTATTTTAAAACAAGTTATTTTTGTAGTTATTTCTTTGCCCCAGTAAGGACCCCCTTCTCAGTTTAGCAGTATGTCAGAAATACTTTAAAGACAAGCAGATGTTTGGGTTAATAAAAACCATGCTTATCTTCTTCCAGTGCTATTATGCATTCTTACTGTGATTTCTTCATAGGGGGCTTTGAATAAAGAAAAAACTGCAGTGTTTGGCAGAGTCTGATAATTTTAAACATTTCTCTATCATTATAGAAGGCACAAAACGTTGAATTTAAACATTTCTTAAAGGAGGATTAATGGCTTTTGTCAGCCTGAAGTTTTGAAACTCTCAACAGAGCCCCTCCTTGTATTTCTAGCCTCAAGTTCCCTTGCCTCCTTTTTTTTGCATTGTTCACGTTATCCCTTCTACCTGGATGTCAGACACAAGGCTAGCATATAAATAAAAGCATCTCGAGGACTGGAATAAGTCCTCGAGATGCTGAAGTGGGGGAATTTAGGAACCCTGTTCAGAGCTTTACAATGATGGTCATAATTCATTTGTTATCAGAAGGAATAGTATGGCATTGCAGCATGTTTGAGAGGCTGTATTGAGTCATCCAAGGAAGGTTTTACATTTGCCAGAGACAGATTTCGTAATCCAGGCCAGTGTGCCTATGTCAGTTTAGATACTCTGTTCAGAATCTTAGGCAACACGGATTGGCAGGCAACAATATCTGAAGTTTTCCAGGATTTCTAATTCTCACATATCTTTTGGTAAATGTAGAATACAGTGTTGTATACAATTAGGACAGGCTCAGATGGAATGAAACTAGGATGGGAATATAAACTAGTTGCAGACAGCGTGTAGTTTTACGTACATTTATAGAACTCTCTGATGTTAGAGGCACTTACGAAGTCAGCTTAGGTGCAGCTAAATGTACTAGAAGTTAGAACATGTCAAATATTATAATAGAGGAATAAACAGTTTGCATGTAATATAGACAAAAGGGTATCCAAATGAGGGGACAGGAGGAGTGGCCTTCAGGACAGAGGGAACAGCAAGACCAGAGACGTGGGGACGTGAATGTACTTGGGTTTTCCAGAAGGAGGAATTGTCCCTTTCCTGGGGCATAGTGGCTGGAGGGAATGACAGGAGATGTGGCTGGAAATCTGTGGCCAGATGTGGAGACCCCTGGGTTCATGCTGACAGTCTGCTTCCTTGGCAAACAATGGGGATCCCTTGAAGGATTCTGAGCAGAGAAATGGCAAGTTTATATCAGAAGCAAGCAGCTTGGAAGATGGATTCACAGAGTCTAGAAGAGAGATCAGCTTAGAGGATATTGTAAATTCTCTGACAGTTGAGAGTGGCAAGTAGGATAGAGGAGGTAAAAATGGGAGAAACGGAACTGGATTTAAAGAGTTTTCAGAGACAGAAGGAAGAAGAAGAGTCAGAAGTGAGTCTGTGGTAAAAAATAACAAATCAGTCTCTGGTTTCCACTGGGAGAAAGAGTGGGTTTGGGGAGAAAGTTTGGCTTTGAAGAAGGTGGAATTGGGATACTGAAGGCCATCCAGTGGAGAAGCCTGTTAGCACTTGGATATTTGAATATGATCCTTAGGAGAGAAGTTGGGGTTAAAACTAGAGATTTGGGGCTTCCCTGGTGGCGCAGTGGTTGAGAGTCCGCCTGCCAGTGCAGGCGACGCGGGTTCGCGCCCCGGTCCGGGAGGATCCCACGTGCCGCGGAGCGGCTGGGCCCGTGAGCCGTGGCCGCTGAGCATGCGCGTCCGGAGCCTGTGCTCCGCAACGGGAGAGGCCACGGGGATGAGAGGCCCGCGTACCGCGAAAAAAAAAAAAGAAAACAAAACTAGAGATTTGAGGGTCGTTTGAATAAAGGTGAGGCTCGTAAGATAATAATTACACATCAAGATAAAGTTTTTCTGATTAAGATCATTTCTTTTAAATAGTGTAATGCAGAAACATGTATATAATTATTTTACATTTTGTAACTTGAATGTTACTGAACTTGTCATAGTTAGACTTGTTTTGTTTGGGTTAAGACTTTTTGTTTCAGAGAAACTTAATCCTTAGACTTATTTTGCCTTACTACTCATGATAAAAAAAGGTCTGTAACTGTAAGCATTTTTAAGGTAGCTTTCTTCCTTGCTCTCTTTTCCTTACTTAAATGGGATTATGAAATTGCTAAGCAGCTGGGTCCGATACCAAGTTAGTCCCCCAGCATAATCTCTCTCTCACATTGCTTTGCAGGCATATCTTTTTCTTGCATATCAAGGAGGCCCTCCTGGCAGGCCACCTCCAGTGTTCACCAGAGCAAGCAGTGGAACTCAGTGCCCTCCTGGCCCAGACCAAGTTTGGCGACTATAACCAGAACACGGCCAAGTACAGCTATGAAGAGCTGTGTGCCAAGGAGCTCTCCAGTGCCACCTTGAACAGGTGAGGCTGCAGTTCAGGCTCATGCTTATTGTCATAGATCTAGCAAATTTATAAGAATTTCCAGAAAAAAATCAAACTGTGATAGATACAGGTAATTTGTGAGGTTGAGACTAGACCATTGCCCAATATAACCAACTATTTTCAAAAGATTCTTAGCCTTTTTTTTGAGAAACTTATAAACACAAAACATAATCCGCACAAATAAATGCCCTTATACAAAATACTATATAACAGGAATTGTAAAATCTCTGACCTTTTAAGAATGCTTATCTCTTAAAAAGTCTGTCATGTTTATCGGCATTTTCTTCATCCCAGCAAGGATTAAACCAAGAGACCTAACAAAGATGTCTTAATTATCTATTCCTGGGTAACAGGGTTGCCCCCCTAAACTTAGTGGCTTAAAACAACAAAATCATCTCACAGTTCTCTGGGTCAGGAACCTGGCCGTGGCCCGGTTGGGTTCTCTGGCTCCAGATCTTTCAGGAGGCTGCAGTCAAGCTGCTGGGGGGGTTCAGTCTCATCTGAAGGCTCAGATGAGGGAGGGATCTGCTTCCAGTTTGGCTCAGGTGGCTTGTTGGCTGGCCTGTGCCTTCATCACGGCGGCCTCTTCGGGGGGCTGTTTGATAACGTGGTGACTGGCTTCCGCAAGGACGAGCAGTTGAGTCAGAGCAAGAGCAAACACCCAAGACGGATTCAAAGTCTCTTTATAACTTAATCTCAGAAGTGAGTGACAGCACATCACTTTGGCCGTATTCTGTACATTAGAAGCAAGTCATTACTCCAGCGTACACTCAAGTGAAGGAAGTTACACGAGGGCATGGATACCAGGAGGTGGGGACCTTTAAGGACGGTATTGGAGGCTGTCAGCCCCAATAGATAAAATAGATCCTGCGTTTCTCAGTTGCAAATGACCTAATCAATCCCATATAATGCTGTATTATAATGAAACTTAGAAAGCAAATCTAGACAAATGGCATGAGACATTGCTACGTATAAATTTCTTACGTATATTTTTAGAGATTTTCCATAGTTCTTTTAATTCGTCCCCGTCTGGCATCCCCAATAGTTTTTTCTCCTAATTATTTAATAGTTGAGATCTTGAACAGTGTCTTAAAAGTATTTTACAATAAGTTTGCTCAATAAATGAAATATCAATAGTATATAGCTTTGAGTTTTTGTGATTCGTAAATGACAGTGTCAGTATAATTCACTAGTAAAAATGATACCGATTTATCTCCGAAGACTGCATCAGTTAATCTCTCTGTATGCCTCTCTGCCCTTTTGGTGTCTTGCAGCATTGTGGCAAAGCATAAGGAGTTGGAGGGGACCAGCCAGGCTTCGGCAGAATACCAAGTTTTGCAGATTGTGTCCACAATGGAAAACTACGGCACAGAATGGCATTCTGTGAGGGACAGTGAAGGGCAGAAACTCCTCATTGGGGTTGGACCTGAAGGAATCTCAATTTGTAAAGATGACTTCAGCCCAATTAATAGGTAACCCAAGTCTTAAATTTTTGTTTAGACCTACGTGTGTACGTACTTTTGTAGCTCTGATGGTGAAAATAGGAAATGGAGAGGGATTTACTAGACAGTCATCCTTTAGGAATAATGTGTTTCATTTTGGGTAGGTACATTCATTTTATTCAGGCTCAAGTGTACTGATGTGACAGTTAATATTTTTCACATGTCATCCACGGCTATAAAAATCTCATTTCACACACACCACACTCACACACGCTCACACTCACACACACACTCACACTCACACTAACTCCAAAATGTGCTCCAGTGCTCCTCTCCAACTTCTTTTCAGAGAGCCTTCATACCTAGGGAGCAGAGTGCTTATCTGATGGTCCCAGGCAGAGCAGAGCGTCTGGCTTTATGGCTGGGCCCTGAGCACATGGGAACCCTGCAGAAGCACACACACGGTGACCCATCTCCCCTGGGCTTGCTCACTTTTCTCTTCCCACCTTTCAGGATCGCTTACCCTGTCGTGCAGATGGCTACCCAGTCAGGGAAGAACGTGTACCTCACCATCACCAAGGAGTCTGGGAACAGCATCGTGCTCTTGTTCAAGATGATCAGCACCCGGGCAGCCAGCGGGCTCTACCGAGCCATCACCGAGACGCATGCTTTTTACAGGCACGTACCCCTGTGCACCCTGTAACCCCAGCGTCTGCCACAATGCTGAGGTTTCCAGGTGACAGCAAGGCTCCTATGGTTCCTGATATCACTGTGTCAGTGAACCTTGTATAGGGCTTAAGAAATCGGCTGTTTTCAAACCCTTCATTTCTACCATAGCAGTGGGGTCCTTCTCAACATCATCCTGCTTTTCCCTCAGGGTGTGTGTGTGTGTGTGTGTGTGTGTGTGTGTGTGTGTGTGTGTGTGTGAGAGAGAGAGAGTGTGTGAGATGCATGAATTCGCTCTACTGCTTATCTCTTAGCCCGTTTCCTCAGAGCTCCCCCTCCCCTAGGTGACTGAGCGGTGGGGCCTGTTCACCTGCTGCTTTTGCCCTTTTCCCGCAGGATGACCCAAGTCGTCTTTCCTTCCTGGGAGAGCTGCTACCCTGAATCCTCAGTGTGTAGTGAGGATGTCTCAATAACTGTGTTGATAGCCTTATTTCCAAGGGTGCTTTAAAGTAGACTTGTGATTTGACGTGTGTGTGTGTGTGTGTGTGTGTGTGTGTGTGTGTGTGTGTGTGTGTGTCAGAGAGAGAGAGTGTGTGAGATGCATGAATTCGCTCTACTGCTTATCTCTTAGCCCGTTTCCTCAGAGCTCCCCCTCCCCTAGGTGACTGAGCGGTGGGGCCTGTTCACCTGCTGCTTTTGCCCTTTTCCCGCAGGATGACCCAAGTCGTCTTTCCTTCCTGGGAGAGCTGCTACCCTGAATCCTCAGTGTGTAGTGAGGATGTCTCAATAACTGTGTTGATAGCCTTATTTCCAAGGGTGCTTTAAAGTAGACTTGTGATTTGACTAAATATTTGGAAAGTTTTTTAAAAGCTAAGAAGTTTAATTGGCAGGCAACCAACCCTTTTTTTATGTTAAAGTAGACACACACATTGTGAAGCAGAATGGAAAATTTGTAGAAATTTTTAACATAAAGCCAAGACTACAAAGAAGAATTTCCTTTTTCTTGCCATAAGCTGCTTTGGACTGTAGTTCTGTCCCTGGAGGTGGAGGTGCCCTCTGGTTTACAGCTGCCTGATCAGGGGTCCTTCCTTTGGAGACACTTGAGAAGCATAGAGGTAGAATCATTGAAATACCTAACACCTATGAAACTGGAAGAATTCATTTTCAAGCACACAAACAAGAATATTTAATGTCTGCTCCCATGAGCATCATTATTCACAGCAGTGTTTAAGGTCTGGCTTGTGGGGACGCCCAGGCCTGTCAGTACTGAGGTGGGTGTTCCATCTCTGTCCATAGGTGCGACACGGTGACCAGTGCCGTCATGATGCAGTACAGCCGAGACCTGAAGGGCCATTTGGCTTCTCTGTTTCTGAACGAAAACATCAACCTGGGCAAGAAGTATGTCTTCGATATTAAAAGAACCTCCAAGGAGGCGTATGACCACGCCAGGAGGGCTCTGTACAACGCGGGTGTGCTGGATCTTGTGCCAAGAAGCGACCCCAGCCCTCCAAACTCTCCCCTGAAGTCCTCGGAGAGCAGCATGAGCTGTGGCAGCTGTGAGGGCCTCGGCTGCCAGCAGACCCGGGCCCTCCAGGAGAAGCTGCGCAAGCTCAAGGAGGCCATGCTGTGCGTGCTGTGCTGCGAGGGTGAGATCAACTCAGCCTTCTGCCCCTGCGGCCACACTGTGTGCTGCGAGGGCTGCGCCGCCCAGCTCCAGGTGAGGATCTTCCCAGCTCCAGGTGAGGGGGCGTTTCCAGCTCCAGGTGAGGTTCCTCTTGGCTCCAGGTGAGGGTCCTTCCACCTCCAGATGAGGGGATGTTTCCAGCTCCAGGTGAGGGGGCATTTCTAGCTCCAGGTGAGGGTCCTCCCGGCTCTAGGTGAGGGTCCTCCCAGTTCCAGGTGAGGGTCCCCCGGCTCCAGGTGGGGGGGTCCTCCTGGCTCCAGGTGAGGGAGCGTTTCCCCCTCCAGGTGAGGTTCCTCCTGGCTCCAGGTGAGGGTCCTTCCGCCTCCAGATGAGGGGATGTTTCCAGCTCCAGGTGAGGGAGCATTTCTAGCTCCAGGTGAGGGTCCTCCCGGCTCCAGGTGAGGGTCCCCCCGGCTCCAGGTGGGGGTTCTCCCGGTTCCAGGTGAGGGTCCCCCAGCTCCAGGTGGGGGTCCTCCTGGCTCCAGGTGAGAGGACGTTTTCCAGCTGCAGGTGAAGGGGCGTTTCCAGTTCCAGATGAGGGTTCTCTCGGCTCCAGGTGAGGGGTCAGCCGGCTGGCATGGGCCAGGTGCTGACTTGTGGAGGCACAGATGGAGAATGTCCATCTCCATCCAGAGGGTCTTTGTATCTGTGACTTGGAAGGTGTTGCCCTTTGGAAACAGTTTGGATTAGCACACTCTTTTCAACAATGTAATTACTAAATCACAGGCTTCTTTCAAGTCCTGGATATGAGTTTCAGATTCACAAGGTACCACATCTAGTTAGTGGCTGAGCCGGGCACTGGAATGCAGGCCTCCTGGGGGCTGGTCACCTCCTTCTCTTCATGTTGTCTCTGCTTCTTGACACTTTGGAGGGTGGTCTTTTTTACTTACTTGTATTATTTGGGAAAGAATTCTTAGAGTTTTGAGTGATAGTTAACTCTCAGTTATCCATGGGTGGGTTGTTGCCTAATTTTTGGTGATTAATTTCCTTTTAGTACTGCCTATGCCTCCAAGGTCCCCTTGGATCAGCTCTCACTTAGCGAGTCAAACTAATTTTAATATTAGTAGAAAAAATAAAAGCACCTCTTACATAGTATCTATTTCTTTCTTGCACCTTGCATTTCCTTTTACAATATTTTCAATTTGTTTTCATTTCCCAGAACCGTTGGCTAACTGTCACTGTGATTTTACGTAAAATTAGCCCTAAATAACATCTGGTCCCTCGGAAGTTGCTCATTTCAGAACTATTTTTAGGGCTACATATGAGCCAAGAGGATGCGCATGTCCTTCCTTAGAGTAGATCACGCTCCTAAGACGAGTTATTTCCCCAGGAGTGATTGTGGATTTGCCTTTTTCATCCACATAGTCTGATTCTCATGCCTAAGGTTCCCCGTGTGGCTGAGGAAGGGGCGTGCTTGCTGAGAGGCCAGCCAGGGGTGTGGAGCTGTGACCTGTGACTAGGAGCGGCCAAGCTCACCGGCCACGTGGCATCCCCCCGTGATGCACCCTGAGCCAGCTGAGCCAAGGACACAGTCTCCGGGAGGGTCTCCTGCATCCCTGCCTGAGACTTCATAATCAGCCCATGTAGGGACCACAGCCTCATTGCACAGCAAGAAGTCTTCAGTAATCACTTTACTCACGGTGCCTTGTTAAAGAGTTTGACTGAAAACCTGATTAATTTCATTCATTTATCCTTTTTCCTAGTATTTATTTTTAATCCTTTGTCAAGTATAAAATGTCAGACTTGTTAGAAAGCAAAGAGCCCTCCCAATGGAAAGCTAGAAATGATTGTGACCACAACGTATTTAGAAAAAGCACTGTAATAGGTACCATGGATGAACACTGAAGACACAGACCCTTGGAAGTATCCTAACCCATACTATCGGCTTCTCTTTTCCAGTCCTGTCCTGTCTGCAGGTCACGGGTGGACCACGTCCAGCACGTCTACCTGCCGACCCACACCAGTCTTCTCAACCTGACTGTGATCTGATCTGCTGTGCACTTACCGGACATGCCATGTCTCCATGAACTGCACTGGTATAAACTATAAACATGATAGATTGTGGAGAGAATAAATACTCCAACGCCCATCTGCCATGCAACGTTTAGGGGGGGAAAAGAAAAAAAAGGAAGAATAGAAACAGTATGACTACTCCTTACCGCCAAAATGTACCATGTGTAGAGTCAGCACCTCCGGGCTGGTGACGAGGAAGAGCTCTGGGACCCAGACACGTTCCTTGGACTTTTCTTCTTTTTATGATCAAGTAAAGAAATCAGGAAGATCTTTGACATCAGTTAAGTGGCAGCATAGCCCAAAAGTGAGTACCTTTTAGAAAATGATGTTTAAGTCTCCTTAACGTATCCCAAGGTAAGTTTCCTACTTGCAGCCAATTTTGTAAGGATTCATTTTAAGGATTTACTTGGTTCTTTTTGTACGGGTCACAGAGCTCTGGACATTTTTAATAGGAAAATTTTTCTTAAAGAGATAGTTGTCATTTTAATGTCATTTCTGTTTTTCTAACTTGTTCAAGAAAGATTGGGAGGCAAACATATTTAAAAATCGATTCGGGGACTTTTTTTTTTTTTTTGCCGTACACGGGCCTCTCACTGCTGCGGCCCCTCCCGTTGCGGAGCACAGGCTCCGGACGCGCAGGCCCAGCGGCCATGGCCCTCGGGCCCAGCAGCCCCGCAGCATGCGGGATCCTCCCGGACTGGGGCACAAACCCGCGTCCCCTGCATCGGCAGGCGGACCCTCAACCACTGTGCCACCAGGGAAGCCCAGTTCGGGGACTTTTTTAGAGTGGACACAAAGTTGTCAGATTTAAACCAGTCTAACCAGTGGAAAACAGATCCCTCCACGTGGATGGTGTCCTATTCTTGCCCCCTCCCCCTCTCCTTACCCTGTCCCCAAGCCTTTCAATTATAAAATGCTACCAGTCTGGTTAGACGATTTCTGTGGAGTAATCAGCACTCCTTGGGCCTCTTGAGTTGGTGGAATATTTTAAGATTGAAAAGGGAGCGTGTGTTCCTTGGAAGGAAGAGCATTGCTTGCTGAGATGAAGCTTCGCCATGTACAAAGTAGGGGTCGTTCGTGAGTTCTCCGACGCACCCTGCTCCAGCTTCTGCCAGTGGGGTTGCTTTTGCTTGAGCCATCAAGCCTTTTACAGCCTTATAGTAGGTATCCTAGATATCGTAAGCTTTTTTTTTGGTAGTAAATGCTTAAGTATTAACTTTTTGTTGTCCCTCTATATGTTTTAGAGGGGTTTCGGGGGTTTTTTGTTTCTATATTCTTAATCATGTTTTCCACTCCCCCTTGGGCATTTTGGAACCTGGTCAGCTTGTTGGTTTTCTAGGATGTCTGGAACCTGGATGACCTTATTGGGTGCAATACTAGCTAAGTTAAAGCTAGAAACCTACACTGTCACTTTACTGAGATTTCTGAGTATACTTTTCATATTGCCTTAATGTAGCAGTAATGTGTTTATGCATTTGTTTCTTTGCACAGACATTTTGTCAGATATTAAAACTCTACTTTTTTATGGCACATATTAGCATATAAGCCTTTATTCCAAGAGGTATTTATTTTTTCACTTGTAAAAAAATAATGTTTCACATATAAAGAACTCTGTTATATCTTAAAGGATTTCTGTCTTTTATATTCAGGATAATAAAGATGTTAAAGCAAACACGGGTGTTTGTATCTTCACAGTTATTGTCATTTAAGCCAGATTTTATTCATTTAATAGAGCATGGATAACGTCATGGTTGGTATCTAATGTGGTCCTTCGTGGAAAGTGAAAATGTTTAAGGTATTGGCTCTAATCAAGGAGACTATTTACCCAGTTACTCATTCATCTATGTTTTCTGGTTTATAGGATTGGAATGTAGGTGAAAATAGGGTAATATATGCAAGCAGACGAAAAGTAACAATTGGGAAAAGGACTGTAAAGCATTGGAGAAGGAAGGGAATGGCGAAGTTGGAAGTTAAAACTGTAAACCCAGATGATGCCGCTAGTGCATTGCCTGGTCAGGACAGGTGAGTGCCGGGCTGGGTCCCAGCAGAGATGGCCTCAGCCTACAGACTCTAGGGCTGCATTCTATAGGGCGGCTAGCCTGCTGCTGCTGGGACCTCGCTGCCCTGAGTGTGCTCATTTGTGTTGCTCAGGAAACACTTTGTGGAGTAGAGAACAGTGCACATGATATATGTAACTCAGAACTGTCTGTTGCAGTCAAGTAATTTCAGCTGCTACAGAGGTTCAGTTCGGTACAAGTGCAGTGATTTCAAGCAAACAACTTTTTAAAAATCGAGAAAAACAAGATTTGATTTCCACTATTCCTATACCTAAGTGGACCTCCCATCAATTTCTAGGAATTAACTTATTTGTTCAATCAATACAGTTATTGAGCACCTGCTAAGTTATTATTGAGCACTGGAAATTTAATAATGATCAAGACACGAATGATACAGGATGCCCATGTCACGTACTTAAACCTGTAATGTACACTATTTTCTCTATATATAGAAATTAAATAATATTCAAAATGATAGAATATTAACAGTGGAGGGTATCTTAAATGTGGTAGTCTCAAAATACTGGCCAGAATAATGGATGGATGGATGACAGGCCAACAAATGGATAAGATATTGTTCACCCCACTACACCGTGGACTCCTCAAGCTCAGTGACTAACATGAAAACTACTGTATTACAAGGTGACTTGGGGGAGCTCAAAGACAAGTGCTGTGTAGGCACAGAAGGTGATGGTTCATTCTCCTTAAGAGCCAAGGGTAAGGGTGCATCACAAAGACCCTTTGAGCTGAGCCTTAACATTCTAGTTGAATTTTACCAGGTGGAAAAGAAAGTATGTGGTGCGTACAGGGTTAGAACGCAGTTTGGGAGGCTGGCCCCTCCCCCTGTGGTCAGTGAAGTGGTAAGAAATGAAGTTCTGAAGGGAACGTGGTTAGAGTTACCGTGGTGAGCGATCTTGAATTCCAGGCTTCACTTGGACTTAGTTCTCCACTGCCTTCAGAACCAGGAACTTTGGGGATGGGAGAGTGGCAATCAGATCTGGTTTCTTGCACAGGGAACACAAAGAACCACAGAGGAAAGCATACACAAGAGCAGGAAGAGAACAGAGGCAAGAACTCAGTTTTGATCATCTTTCAACATGAAAATGAAACAGATCAAGAGCCTTCGGAAGTATGAGCAGTATTTAGTGAGAAAGAGGAGTCATACACCAATTCTGCTTGTATCTTGGAACAAATAGTCATTAACAGAGGGACAAACAGAGGAGAGCAAGCCATGGGGGTAGGAAGGGAATCGAATCTGGTTTTGAACATGATGCACTTGAGATGCTTGATGACTGGCAAACCTGGGGTCTGTTGAAAACTTGGGCTGGAACTTAGAGGATGGAAAAGGTAAAGAGAAGTATTTAGTGGCCATTACATTTAATTGATATTTGAAGACATGACAATGTAAGAAGTCATCATAGGGAGAGCATTGAGGGGGGAAATGAATAAAGCTGAAGATGGAACCCTGAAATGACCTAGACCTAAGGTGGACGGTGAGAATAGGAAGGAGTCTGAGAAAGACAAAGGGACGAGGAAAAATCAAGGGACTGAAAGCCAAGCCCGGAGACAACTTCAAACGGGCGCGTCCACTATGTCCAAACAGGCAGGCCAGCAGAATCAAGGAGCTGGAGGGCCAGAAAAGGCCGTACGAATGTGGCAATATCAGGTGGTCCCAAGTTCCAAGAAAGAGTGGGTGTATTTTGAGATTGCGGGCATACTCCAAGGTTGCCAGATTGTAGTGAGCTGTGTGTGAAAGTGAGACAGGGACATGGAAGTGATAAAGGGGGGCTGACATGCATTGGTGACAAGGTGGAGTAAGTCAAGATGGTACCGTAGGAGGAGGTGGGCTCAAGAGAAGCGTTTGCGTTTTGCATTTTAAATGGGAGGACTCGGTAGGCATAGAGGAGGGGGCCGTGGAGAGGGTGAGTCAAAAGGTACAGCAGAGAGGAATCAGCATTGGAACTCTGGAGAAACAGAAGCGTCAAGAGGCTGTTCTGCCAAAAGTCACGATCTATGAGATGTGAACAAAAGCATTCTTTCATCCTTTTATTAAGGGTTACAAAAATTAGTGGTGAAGCTAGAGACATTTCCCCTACCCTATATGTCTACAGTGACATCTGTGGCAGATGTCGAGCTCAAATGCAATGTGGGTACATTCTGGGGTTGTCCCCTTAACCCTGCCATTGAACATTAAGGATCAGAATCCCCACGGGTGACTACTCTTGGGCAAAGCATGAACTCTTCCAAGAAAAATGTGAGAAAGAAATGCCCTATAGCCCAGAAGTTTGAGCAAATTTCCAAACACAAGCCTTGGGAGAGTGCATGTATGAGTCACCGCAAGTAAGCCTGAAGCAGGATGGTGCAACGGATGCTTTGGTGCTGAGAGAGCTCAGAATAAACCAGGAAGCCAATGTTTTTAAGATAGTTTTACCAAGCAGTGGAAAACGAAGCCTACGTGGAGTTTGAGCACAGTCAGAATTTAAGACCAGATGCAGCTATTTTTGCCTTTCTCATTGCTTATCATATTTACTGCCTTCTCACAGAAATCCTATAACATTGCAAATTACTTTTATTCATATTTGCAGAATCTCCTTGAAATGAGTTTGTTTAAAAACTGCAAGATGTTAAAGAGTTAGCCCTGTGCCTTTTAAAAACAAAACTATGTCAAGACCACACCAATTACACAGATTTCACACACCTGCCAGATGCTTATGGAAGAAAACACACTTCAAGCAAAAGCTAAACATCTGTTGTTCATAAACTTGTGCTAATGCTAAGGGCAAGAAAAATCTCAAAGCATAAGCAAGCCTATCAAGGAGCGATTCTTCTGGTTGAGAAGAAAACTCCTATACACTCGTGTGAAACAAAAAGCTGATAATAGTTCTAAGACCAATAGTATTGCACATACATGTATGTATGCACGTATATATGCAAATATATATGCTTAAAATTTTTCATAAATGTTTAAAGAATGTGAAGAAGTCACTGTGGATTGGGTGCACTTGGGGAAAAGGCTTTTTGAAGTAGGTAAGTTC